ATATATAAAAGCACATGTCCCTTAAGGCATACACAGTGGAAGACAAAAATTGCTGGAAAGCTATACTATAGAACTGAAATGAAAGGGAAGACAGTGGGGGTATTAAAAAAAAAAAAAAGTTATTTTCTTTGTTCTTGCAAGTGGTTCTAGTGGAATTACTTGTTTCTGACATTAGTGGCATGATTTTCTTTTTCTCCAAGATCAGGCTTTTTGTAGAGACTAAATGAAGGAGCATAGTTGGAAGAATATTTGGCTCCATAAAGTATTTAATAGAGAGAATTAAATCTCTTGCAAAGTTCATTAAAATTGGCTTGGCGGTGAGCACTGTTATATTAGCTGAAAACAGATCAAAGCACTAGCTATAAACATGGGTTAATGATAAGGTACTGAAGGATCTGGTGGCTAGAAGGATGTCACAGGAGTTAGCTGATGTTAAGTTAGCTAACATATAGTGTCTTCATTAATCTAAAAAAAAAAAACCCAGCATTTTAATTACATTTGTGACTTGGCACAGAATTCAGAGCTGTGGTGAAGACAGACACAACTAGATCATAGAAGCACATATGGGGAGACAATGCATTAAATTAAATTCAGTGTAATGCAACTGTGGCTTTTAGCTAAGCTCTACTCACAGCAAATTTCGTGTAAGTTTTAGCACATAAAAGCCATCTAATGTGCAACTTAAAGGAAAGTGACAGTAAGAAAAATTATAGCAGAATAATACTGCAAATTCTGAAGAAGGCTCAAGACCTTATATGCTTTGTTTTGTTTCCTGGCCACTGCGGTTTTGCTGCAAACTTTCATCATATTTTGGTTAGAGAGAAAAGTTGTTGGAGGATTAGGCTCCACTACATCATTAGGTCATGGAAATTGCAGCTGGAACATGGAGCTGGGGAGGTATCTACAGGCAGATCCCATTGCGGGCAGCACATGGAAACGTGGCTGAACGAAGCACTTTGCAAAGGGAGGCAATGCTGCAGAGTCCCCGTGCTGGGCAGGGTGAGGCAGAACGTGGCAGGTAGAGTGGGACTGGAACCTGCTTTTTCGTGCTCTTCACGTGGGGGTCAGAACACTAATTTCTGGCCTCTCAGAGCTGAGGTGATGAATATAGGCTAGTAACAAGGTCCTTCAACAAAGAATGATCTATTTTATTTTACTGAAATCTTCTATGCTCTGTTACTTCTCACCTGTTCGTATTCTCATTCTTTGTGCTTCTGGTCTGTTTTCTGCATTGCTTCTGGTGATTTAAGTACAAACAAAATGTTTGTCCAGAAGCTGATCACTGTGAGTTCAGATATGCACCAATGAATTTCTTGAATGGGTATCAGTAACTGTAGATGCTAGAACTGTGTTGTTGTACTCATGTGTCATACTGCTTATATTGCAGTTTTTGATTTGAAAAATCGTAGCTTTTTTTTTTTTTTTCTTTTGTGATACATCTCTACCAGGCAGTCCAGGCTTAAGAAAAGTTAAGACAACCTGCATGTATATTCTGTTAAATGTCTCCTTAAAATAGTTACCTAGTGTTTTGATTTCCACTTACCAGTTCTTCTATGGTATTGGTACCATAAGTACCACATTATTGTCCTGGTGTATAGGAACACCAATTCCTATTTCTACTTCATAACTAGTAACATACAGAAACCTGTCTGTGTAAATAAGATCCATTTTTAGTATTCCCTTTTTTTTTTCAAATCCTCTCAAATCCCTTTCTTTCTTTTTTTTTTTTAGATTCTTTCAAGACAAAACAAAATGAAAAAATAAATGTCCCTTAAAAATTTCTAATTGCAGATACTCACAGGGAAGCTTGCACACATCCTTCCAGGTTAATCTTGTGATATCAAAGTTATGCAGAATCGCCAGATCTTGCCAAGCTTAGCTGCTGTTTCCTTTACAGCTTTACTGTCAACGTATAGTGCTCTTTGAGATGGGTCACAGAGCATGATCATCTGAACTTAAAACCTGACACTAGTTTGAATATTAAAAGCCCATTTATATTTAGCCAGTCAGCTTCTTTGCTATAGTCTCTGTGCATGAATCTGATAAAAGAAAAAAAAATTGTTACTTGTGTTCTTCTGTGTTTTTTATCATCTATATTTTTATCATCTGTACAGTGTCAGACACAATAGGCCTGTAGAGGCTACTTCATGGCTATAATGCAAGTTTGTGAAGGAATACAAGCGTATGAAGGAATAAAGTTGAGGAATCATTGGGACAGGAGTGCTGTCCTTCCCAGTGATTCAGGGGGCTCTAATTCCGCTACACAAAACCTGTCGTGTGGAGAGTCCTGTCCCTGGCTGGTTTGTACTGTAAGGCAGAGTATGAGAGTGCACTTTAATGTGATCAGGGTGTCATGTGAAACACGGCAAGCCACAGCATTACATCATGCGGAAAAACCTGCCAAGGGGACAGGCTGCTTAGCAAGCCTAGTTGCTCTGAAACCGGAGTTCCTCCAGTAGTTTTTCTCCAGGACAAAAGATGGAGGAAGGTTTCCTATGGCCGAGCTGGACAGGAGCCTTTCAGGGTTTTGGTGGCTTCCACATAAGTCCTGTGACTTGCAGATGCTAGTGCGTGTCCTGTGACATGCATGTAATAAATCTGGCTGATGCTTGGCGAGAAGAGGAAACACTGCAAAAAAAAAGTAGCACAAAGATTCAAAACAGCCAGGATTCATCGGAATATCTAAGCAGGGCTGGTTGGAGAGGAGAGGAAGTTCCCAATCCTCTTTCAACAGACATGCTGCAGCCCTATTTCTGACGTGCATGGGTTTTTTGATGTCCCTGGGGTTTAGGGAGTCCCCGGCTGCTTGCTACGGCCTCTGCTACTTTGTTCCTGTGGGCTCTGCTGTGTGCTCTCAGTTGTTTGTGCAGCTGTTGAGTAAAATGGTTTTGCTGGGGTAGCAGCAGACTATATTTTTAATTTTATTTATAATATTTATAAATTTGTTTAAGTGGCAAGCTATTTTTTCAGCTCAGTCAATAGTCTTGTTGACGACGTGAGAACTACGGACCAGGAAACTTGAGCGCAACCTCAGACAGCCTGAACGTGCAGGGCTGGCAGAGAGGAGGGAGAGGGTCTGAGATGGCAGTGAGTGCTGCCATTACTCACCTTTGAGGCTACTAACAGGTCTCTCCTTGCAAAAAAATCTTTAGCCTTGGAATTATTGGATTTCCCTGTTCGAGAGGGTGTTATGGGCTAACTAGCTAACTTAATTCAAGTATGTTATGTAATATGTTCCAGTTGTATACAGTATTTGAATTAGAAATATTTTAATAGATTGTTATTTTTTTGTGGTTGGCTCTGTGAAAGCTTTTCAAATGTGTTGTCAAGCACTAATGTTACCATATAAAAAGAGGCTTCCAGAAACATAAGAGAGTGTCTTTCATGATTGCCAAGGAAAACGGGCTAAATTACTGTGTGTTAACTACCCGGTGTCTCAGGATGAGGGTTTGTTCCTGGACAGCTACTACAAAGCTCCTGGCATGTGATAGTAGCATCTTGTGATGATTTAGCCCTATTTCCAAGGTTCCTAAAAGTGAAATAGTATAAAACACCCTGATCATGGAATGTGAATTAGCTTCATGCACTTTATGCAGAGTTTTTTAGTCTGGCTGCAGAAGGAGATGAATCATGCTGTCTTCTGTTCCTATTGCTATGCCTGATCCTCTTGGCTGTTTTGAGGAACTCTGAAGGATAAATTCCATGTAAACAGGTGTCCAGTAGAGGAAAAATACTGCTGGAATTTCCTTCAGCGGTGCAGTACAAGTTTATTAGATTTAAGAACATTCCCACTGGAGAGGCGTTACAAATTCCTCAAATACGGGGAATCTCCGCTTAGAGCTTGTGCAACATGACGTGTTGCAGAGGGAAGCTGTAGGAAACAAGAGTTTGTTACTGCCAGTGACCACGGAGGTACTTGGTTTGGTCCTGCCTGTGCCTTTTCACGCTCCCAGCACCACACTGACAAGCTGTAGCAGCTCTTCAGTAACCAGAGGGAAGGCTTTTAGGAACACAAGCCGGAGGGTTCCCCCGGGAGCGCGATGAGACTGAGGTCCCTCAGGGAGCGGGGAGGCGCCATTTTGGGTGCCCGTGTTGCTGCTCTGAGGCGCCACACTCTGCTCTGCTGAACTTCCTCCTGGTTTCTAGCTACTTAGGCCATCAGTCCTAGGTCGTTTTTGTTTGTGGCATTTTTTTTTCTGCTAGGAAAACACACAGTCATAAAGCTGAGATTTGTTTTCTCATGCGGGGAATGAAGAGTGTCTGCTTTTCTGTAGGTGTGTTAGAGCCTCCTGACAGGAGAAGGCAGTGGGCAGCTCCACTGCAAACTAGCCAGGCTTTCTCTCTGCCCCAAACTGTAACCATGTAACTCTTAGAAATTCCAGGCAGAGTTTGGGTTAGGATTGAAATGGATAGAGCAAAGATAAGTTAGCTGTCCTGTCAAAGTCTCGAAATCTTTGTGTTTTACTGGCTTTTTTTGTTTGTTTTGCTTTTTTAACTGTTTTGATGGAGCAGATGCGATGAGGAAAAGATATTCTGAGCGCTTTCAAATGAGCAGGCCTGAGGCACCAGCAGAGTAAATGAGATGAACACTGTTCATTTTGGAAGTGCTGTCTCTCTCATCACATCTAATTACAAGTGAAGTTCATGTTTGGGAAGAAAAGTGTTTAACTTTCTCGGGGATTTGTAGAGCCCTGGCAGAGCAAACCTCAGGTTTCCAGTTCACAGGGCTACCAACTGCTGCTCCGCTGTGACTCCCGTTGGAGCCTGCAGATGCCATGGGTTAATTGGCTGGGAGGGTCGCGGGGGATGCAGTGGGCTGGGAACAGGCCTGGGGACAACCAGGCTTTGTCTCCTTGCTGGGGAGCTCGAGGATGGCGTTGCTTGTAAATACCGGCAGGAATTTGCCAGGCTTCTGTAAGTTGCTCCAGCTTATAGAAAGAAGAATCTTCACTGTCATCTGTGCTTTGCTGTTGGCCAGATGCTTTGAAATCTATAAAAGCACTGACTTATTTTTTCTTTCAGTCTCCAGAGGGTGCTGAAGGCAAGGATGCAGCAAAAGTAACTAAACAAGAGGCAAGTGTATTTCCTTTTTATTATGATTATTCATTTTGGCAAGTAATTATTTAGTTGGAGATCCGAAGTCTTTGCAGATCAAAAGAGTATGTACTTACTGCTCAGCCACTTCCAGTGAAGTGTTTTCAGAGGAAATAATGATAGTTTGTTTAAAACCAGAAGTAAGCCACATTTGTAGTTTATTTGGCATAATTTGATTTTTGTGCACTGAGGGTTTGTAGGACTCGCTGATACACAAAACAAATCCCAGAAGTCATTTAGGGGTTTAATAGAGGCACTCTGGTGGACCTTAAAGCAACAGTCTAGTGTGTCACCTCCTGGAACTGCTTTGCTTACCTTTTCCTCTAGCAGAGCTGGCACAAGAGAGTTAATCCAACACCTCAGCTACTCAACTTCAAAACTATTCTTAGCTTATGTGGCTGATGGGAGGGTGTTTTGAATTAAGATACCAGATTCTAAACTGGGGCAGCTGACATATGGGTATGTTTCTTTTGTCCAAATTTGCATTAAGGGCACAGTTAACTCTTGGCAGAAACAGCAAGGAGGACAGCTGGTCATACCTTGAGCAGTACAGGAAGGTTTGTTGGACTTTAACATAGTCCTTAATCTGATTTTAAGAAAAGAGGTAGATAACTATTGAGGATTCATGTTCTTAGGTTGTCACCTTTCATGGCTTACAACGTTCAATCAAATGAAAAGACTGTGTGAATATTCAAGCAGATTAAAAATTAATTGCTCTTCTCATAAAGCTTTGGGCATATTTGAACAGGGAGAAAAGTCTAATGAAGTTTTACATTTTTTTTTAACTGAGAAGGCAATTGATGCTTAGTCAGGCAAAAGAAGATGGTACAGTGGAATGTCTAAGTTTTTCAAATAGTAACATTTCCAAAAAATCATGAAGAAAACAGATGAGTAAAAAGGTCTGAGAAGACTGGGTTATGGTATCTCAGTAGCATCCTGTGGAATTTTCTAGAAGACAATATACCTGTTAGTTTGTTAGTTTCATAAAATATAAAAAGGCTGGCTAAATCATAGTAAAAAAAATGCATTCTTTTTGCTCTGAATATTTTTCCTCTGCCCAACTTTAAATCTTATTCTTTCAAGAGACAGGAAAGTAAAAGTTCTTACGCCGAGTGCTTAAGACACTTGAATGCTAGTATAAGAAGAAAGACTGAGAAGTTTGCAGAAATATTCCCTCTCAGAGGAGGGCCTGTTCTCCTTGAAATACAGGAGTAGTCTTCAGTCAAGGTGAGATAACAGTGACTTGGACAGTACAGGAAAAAAGAACAACCATGGACTCAGTAGGCACACCTGTAGTGCTCAGTGAGGACAGTGGCCAAGGATTAGACTGGAAAGTGTGGGAACTTTTGGAATTTTGGTTCCACAAATTTTGGAGTAGGTGGAACCTGGCAGAAAGAATGGCTTCAGTCTGAACCAAAACAATCCCATGTGGATGATGACACTCAAGAATTGTATTCTAATATACATATATATATGTATTTTAACTAAATATTTGAGGGAGACTGGCAGCTTCTGAATTCCATGTCTTTGGGGTTAAAAAAAGGTAAAACAAATCACAAACTATAAAATTTTGCATCTACAGTGGCAAAGAGCAATTTTGAAAAATGCATTGGGAAGGCATTAAAAGACTAAAAAGTTAAAACGAGGAATGCTGCTTCTTGGAGCAACAAGTCAGAGGACCAAAAAAATGATAATCAGCTGCTGATGCAGTGCACACTACTTAGTACATGGGAGCTAAAGAGGCAGTTGTCAGAGAACTGATCTGTGATTGTGACCATAATAAAGTCCTGTTCATAGGCATTGTATGATTAAATAAACTCCAAAAAAGAGAAAGATTTATCACCAAAATAAAGACAAAAAAAAAGTTATTTTTAAAGATACGGATAGAAAATAATGAGGAAAGAAGCTAAACATCCAGTCTGTCAAAAGTGACGCTGAAACACAGTAACTAGATGAAACTTCTGCTATGCAGACCCGTTAGGGTGGTTGTCACACCGGAGGCTTTTCTTAGGAGTGTAGAGTTTAGAGAACATTCTTGAACATTTTTTTTTCCCCTTAACAAACTGATGAAAACAAAAATAAATTTGAGAACTAGCCCAACAGCCCAGTGAATCTGGGCTAAAACTGTTTTGCTAAACTATTGAGAGACCTGCACTGGCCTCAGTACGAATATGCCCTCAGGGTCTTAAATAAGAGATTTGGGAAAGTAAAGATTTTTTTTTTTTTATGCAGAATGAGTAGATATGGGCAAATGTATAGCAGCAGCGCTGACAGATTTTGCGGAGAGGTTATCCTTCATTGCCTGTTGACTTCTCCACAGAATTCAGATCAGTAAATGATGTTGAACCAACTGATACATTGCACTTGGATATAAAAGCGCTTTTCGATGAAGCTCTCTGACCAGAAACCAACAAACCATGGATTAAAGAGAAAATATTTCAAAAGTGGTAGAAGATGAATTGAGGAGAAGAGACTAGGGAGGCAGCAGTTCATTGTCAGTCAATTTGAGCTTGTGCTGCTTGGTGTTTTCATGAACGATCTAGGAGAGAAGTTACTGGTGAAACTATGAAGTGTTCTGGAGTTTACCAAAAAAAATCATCAGGGTATTGAAAAGTCAATAAGATTGAGAAGGATGTGACATTGCTGCGTAGCTAGATGATAAAAAAAAGCAGTGAAAACTGAATATAGAGAATGCAAATTAATACACATGGGCAGGGGAAAACACAGTGTATGGGCAAATTAGCTGTAAATCAGGGGCAGATTGTAGGCTCAGTGCAGATAGCTCTTAGAAAATGTCTTAATAACTGAAAGGAGACCAGAAGAGGGGAAATATTACTGACAGAGAAGAGAGCAGAATGGGAGACATCACTGTGTCACAGCATAAATGCTTTGTGCACCTAGATGGGGACTGCTAAATGGCTCTCCCTTTATAAGATCATGATGGAACTGAAAAGGTGCAAAGGACAATGCAATGAACAGAGACTATAGAGCAGCTTTTTAAATTAAAACAAATTTTCTAGGAGTCATATTGCAGGGATAATAAATTTATCAGAAAAAAAAAACTGAGAAAGGCAGTTAAGGAATGATTACTTGCAGACATAATTCGAGAATAGGAGGAATCCAGTGCTAGTAAAAGGGTTTTCTTTTTTTTTTTTCTTTCTTTCTTTTTTTAAACTTTTTTTCTCTTTGTTTTTTGTTGTTAATGATCCGTAAATATTTGAAAGTATCTTTAGGTGGTTTTTGACACTACTTGCATTTTGGTGGACCTAAATATGAACTATTCCCTACTGCTTCACCTAAAAATACTTACATGGCTGCAGCAGATACATTTTACTGCATTCTTCATGTATTAACAGCAGCTTTTCTCTTTTCCAAGAGTTATATTGGGCTGTGTTTTCTTTTTTTCTCAGCCCATCTTAAATGCTTAGTATCTAATTTAAAATATATTTTTGCTTCACTTTTTAAGTTGCATTGTGTTGGATACTTGTTGCAGTTGAATTGTACCTTTATTTTAATTACAAATGCAATTCCAATTTTATGGCATAGTCCAAATTTAACTGTTTGATAAATGCTGTATAACTGGATCATGGACTTGTGTTTTAATGACTAAAAAAATGCTGTGAGCAAATTAATGAGCTTACAGCTCTTTCTGTACTTGCTCATCCTCAGTAGTAGATTTATGAAAAAGAGCAAAATGAAATAAAATTTAATTGGGAAGGCATGAGGTAATGAAGAGAAGAAGTGGAGAAAAAGCAGAATATTGGACTTTCTTCTTTCCTTTTTGTAATTATCTTTACATACAAAAAAAAATCCTTCTGATCTTGTAGCAGCCTCTGTACAGATGGTCTCTCAGATGCAGTTTGTGGGAAGGGACTATGGACCTGGAGGGATCTTCATTTCGTATTTTGACCTCTTAGTGCTCTGATATCCTCCAGGAAAGGATGATGACTTTACTTTGATTTTTATCAGAAAATATTTTTACCTGCTATTAAAAATAACATGTGATAGATTAGAAAACTCCCTTGAAGTATTTTGTTTGCTTTTCACAAAAGTTTGCTGTGTCCTGTGTACAACTAGTTAAATTTGCTGTATTTGTGAATCTTTTTAGAGCAGCAAGGGACTCAGAAGTACTTGTAAAAGAGGTGCTAAAATAATATTTCACAAATAAAAGCACTGACAGATTTGAAAGTAGATTTAGGCATCAGAATTCCTGAACTGTTTTCATTAATTTCTGTCTCACTTTGTCCCTCTAAAATTGTGATGGTTCAAAATGAGGAAGCCCCGAGTAAGTCTGTTAGATACATACAGAGGTGCATATTTTGGTATAATATATTTTATTTTTTCTGTGACCATGAAATGATTGATGTGATCTGGGCTTGGGTAGGATTTACTGTAAGCCTATAAATGTCTTCTTTCATTTTTTTTTTCTCTGTAGCCCACAAGACGATCAGCAAGATTGTCAGCTGTAAGTATGTGTAACACTTCTTGGTGTATACTTTTCTAGCCACATATTTTCTCAGACCAAACAGGTTTATTGCATTTTATTTGATTCATTTTTTTTTTCTTGCTGAAACTGTTCACAGGCATTTATAAGTCTAGAGGTTTTTTTAATCTATCGGTTTCTGGAGGTTATTTTAACAAAAAGATGATTTCTGTATTTCAGTACAGCACTCAGTCTGTTTACACACAGTATTGACTTAGTACCTTTGCAGGTTGTGGAAATGTGGCTACATCTGTGAGTAAGAGCAATCCTCCAAGGGCTTGATTGGTGCAGCTACTAGTATTTGGTTTTAGTCCCTCTTCTTTATGAGAACAAGCACATTTTAAATCTTTCCTAGTACATTTGCTCAAAGTGCATAGACACACGTGTGTATTAACCAAATAAGTGTTCATAAAGTGGAAGAGCTTTTTAATGATACAGCTGTATGAAAGACTGTGAAAAGTTTTCTTTCTTTTAGCAAAAGAATCTATGATGGGCTTTTTTTATTTGATAGATCCTTCCACGTTTAATTCTTAAAATACCTCCCAAATTACTTTAGCCCCTAGGTGAGTGGGCTAACAGAAATGGGTATGTGTGTGTTTGTGCATTGAGGTTTTTTGACCTTTTCTAGCTGCATACGAGTGAGTAGGAAGTAAGGGAAACTGGTGTGGGGTGGGTGGAAGCTGCTATGTGGAGGCTGGTGACTGGCTGCTGCTAATATATTTAATATGTCATGCAACTAAAAATATTTTATAGAAACCTGCTCCGCCAAAACCTGAACCTAAACCAAGGAAAGCCACTAAGGTAAATACTCTTCTTTTTAACTGTCATCACTATAACGAATAATAATCAGGTTATACTTTCTCTTTGTCTTACAAACTGTTCAATTCACATAAACTCTCCCCCTACTTCACCCTCACCCAGGAGAAGAAACAAACACACAACAAAACAAAACAAATTAGTTTACTCTTGTTGTGCTCCACCCTTTCCTGGCCTCATTACTGGCCAAAGAAACTGATCCACAGACTATCCTAGTTTGTAGGAAATACCAAGCTGAGGAAGAATCTTTCTTTTTTTCACACCTTTCCTGAAATTTGCAGGTTTGCTCAAGTTAGCTCTACTTGGGACTGATTATTCCATATCATCCTTGCTAGATATGCTAGCGTATCATGCTTGACTAGGGGCGGGTACCTCATTTAACAGTGAGAGGCTCTTACCTGTTTGTGAAGCCTGGCCATTGCTGAGAATGTGCTATTGTAATTAAAGGTGAAATTAAATATATTTAAATTGGATGGCTTTGGTTTGCTAGGCCAGTTACAGTCAAATTAAAATCCTATGAGTGTCTGAAATACCTTTTCATGATTTCTGCATATAAATCACATACTTCAGAAAACATAGATTTCCTTGGGCCAAAGTGGAATGCTAAGAACAATTGCTTTATCAGGAAAAAAAAAAAGAGCACTGGGGGGTGCTGAGGGGAGCCCTCTTCACACTTAGAGTTTTCAAGTCTGTGTTTTGGTATCTCAGTTACACAGGTATCAGAATATGAGGTTCTTGTATGAATGTGTAACTCTACGACCTGGAACATTTGCCTAGTAATGCAGTTGATAAATTCAGCAAGACTTCATGAATTATCTTGATATGACTGGGCTAATTTGTGTTAATAAACCTACTCCCGTATTAAAAAGAGCATTAATAAAGAATGGAGTGTGGTAGTTTTTATAACTTGCAGCGCATGTTATAAAAAGAGCTGGGTGTTGCAAAGTCTAAGTTGCATGAGAGACATTTGAGGCTTATTTCAGGCATGTGGAATCCCCTATGGTGTAATTCTAAGTAACTTTTTTAATACCATAATCTGCTAAGGTTTTTTCCTAAATTGTAACTGTTTTGCCTTTTAAGGAGTATAATATTAATCTTGGTCTCCTAACAAAAACTGGGGAATGTGTACTCTGAGCCTGCTAATGATCCCAAATCTGAACTATCTTTGGTTATTTATTTTTAGTGTTCAGAGCTTGGCCACTGCAGTTTTACTAAGTCCAGTGCTTGACTTCTTTCCTATGTGAAGAGTTAGGACTATACTCAAATCAACAGCAAGCTCCTCAGTTACACACTGGAGCTGGAGGCAGTGTGGAAACTCAGGAGTGAGAGGAGTAAATTTAGGCTGCCTCCTAACTAGGGTTAACCCTGCTTCCCCCTACACCCAATTCCCGTACCAGGAAAGGGAGGGATCAAAGGGAGGCTGACCTTAATATCCCCCTTCATGGGATATTAAGGCTCTCGTTGCCATTTTGCATGGAGAACTTGGAGCAAATGATTGCATGGGACATGTCCTCAGTGCTAATCAGATCTGCTTTAAACAAACATAGCTTACCTTTTTAACACAAAAGACTTGAAATCCTTAACTTGTTTTTCTACTAAGTGGTGGATAATCTTAGATCACAAACCTAAGTGCATCCATAGATGCAGTGATACAAAAATAAGACTTCAACATAGGAGTTGTATTGTTTGTTGAAGAGCAACTCTCTAAGTGAAATTGTAAGTGGTAGAATAGTTCCTTTTGATAAATTCTCAGTTTTCTGCTGCTACAGGTGAGATTTTATCAGTGTTTGTCTCCCTAATGTGTTACTTGTTTCTCATTGATGTGAAATGAACACCACAGATGTTATCAAACTAAGAGAAGGGCAGCCAGCAGAAAGGCCTAATTTAAAAAATCTTAATTCAATATTTTATGTTGATCAAAAGTGTATTGCCATTACGCAAGCAGCAAGTTGTTTGTGCTTGGCTGAATAAGCCTTTTTTAATTGTATTTTTTTTCATACAGATATTTTTTCATATTCCTCTGTTTTAATCAGTTTACAAAATAGTGTGAGGGGCTTTTGTATCCCTGGAAATTAGCAGAAGTACTGAAGAAGCACACATCAGCATTTTCTGCAAATTTTGAGAGTCTGTACAACTTCTGTACCTAGCAAATTTCCAGGTCGTCCTGGGTGAGTTTCTCTGTTAGTTCAGCACATGCAGCCTGCTCAGATTTGCTTCCTAGTTTTTGTGAAGGATTTTGCTAAAGACGGAGGATGCCAGCTACTCTTACAGCCTGTGCCCGTGTTTTTAATCTTCTGTCAGAAGGAACCTGGAACAAAGGCCAGCAAAGGTGCTAAAGGGAAGAAGGATGAAAAGCAAGAAGCTGCAAAGGAAGGTACTACACCATCTGAAAATGGTGAAAATAAAGCTGAAGAGGTACTTGCCACACATACCTCCTGCTGATTGAACCAGTGTTTTGTTTTGTTTTGTTTTTTTTTTTAATTATTCAGCCTTTCAGACATTGATAGCATGTTCATAATGTTTCTTTTTATTGCCCACGATGTTATTGCAGATTCGCATCTCTCGCTCAGCTGTTAGTGTTTCCACATCCCGAGGTGCCCCAGCCAGCACACTGTCAGTAAAAGGGCAGAGTGAAACAGTGAAAGTTAAGGGTACGGTAGCGCATTCTGCATGGGTGCAGTGCGTAGACGCAGGTAGTAAGTGGTGTGGTGCGTTTCTGTGTGAGCGGTGGCAGCGGCAGGTAAGGCTTGTGTTGCTTCGAGCAGCTGGGGCCGAGGAGTGACGAGGAGCGTGTGGGTGTCCCTGTCCCGCGGGTGCCAACGTAGCACGGGCCTAGGCTGGAAACCCAACTGTGGCACACGGCGAGCCGGAGGATGCAGGGCAGCGTGGGCGATGGTGGACACCAGGGCAATCTACTGTCGTAATTAATTGTTTTCTTTCCTCTTCACAGGCTCAGAAAACTGAATCTGTAGGTGACAAGAACGAATGAATTATCGTGAAAATTTTGGGTTGATTTTATGTACCTCTCGGACAACTTTTAAAAGATATTTTTATCGAGTATTTTGTAAATGCTAATTTTTTTAGGACTATGATAGTTGACATATTAAACTGTATATGAACATTTCCCTTCTCATAACAGTGCTTTTAGAAATTCCCATTGTTGCCAAGTAATATAAATATCAAATTAATATTGCAAGGTATGTGTAAAATTGGATCAGCATTCCATACACTTGCTTTACGAAATCAAGTCTTGTGCATATGGTGATGTTTTTACTGTGTGTATTTGAATTTTTCATGCAGTTTTTCTAGAGCAATAATCAGTGGTGCTTTTGTACTTAGGGTTTATGTGATTTTAATGAAACATGGATAGATGTGGCCACCTGCTGACTATTTTGGGTTCTTTTAATGGATTAAAATAAAAGGTCTCTGCCTGCAAAACTACAGCCTCCTAATGTTTTCTCTAAATCTGAGGGACGTCTCGCTCATATTTTCAGCTATTACAAGGGAAACTAAGTGATTTAGCAACCATCAGGTTCTGCGTGCAGTCCGTTTTCTTTTTTTCTGATCTCTGATTAAAAAATACCAAATGAGCAGCAGGTGGGGCTTTCAGTGGCCCATGAGTTGGGGCGCTTACAAATAATTTCTCCAGCTGCTCTGTCACGGGGTGAGTGGATGGCCCTTGTGCCTATAGGGAGATGCCAGTGCGGACGAATGTCTTGGTTGCTGCAGAGGGGCAGAAGCTGCTGGGAGCAGCCCTCTTTCTGCCCTGCAGCCCTGTCAGGGCCTGGAGCAGATTTGCATCTCACCGTGTGGAAATCCTGCTTTCTGTCTGAGGCCTCAAGTCGCTTATAAACCAGTAACTGCTCTTCTGCTTCAGCTGAGGACAGTTAATATATGGAAACTGCTGTTAAACAGCATTGAATACTTGGTACCTGGTGGAGATGGAACAACGGAAGTTATTTTGGGGGTGATTGTGGCAATATAGTGAGTTAACTGGTGATTTGGGGTATCTGTTTTTCAACTCTTCAGCTCCTTCTAAGCACCTTTGCTAATTTTTCTCCTGACGCTTTTCTCTAGGGATCCTGATGTTTCTGTTATTACTTCTGGGATGGGAGGGGTGGGAGAGATTATGTTCCCTGTTCTTCAGTAGCATTGATTTGTATTGCTCGATTTGAGTCAATAAATAAATGGCTGCTGCCTGATCTAGTGTTTTTTTTCTTCTTCAGGAATAAATCTCCAGTTGCCTTCCTTTCTTATTAAAAAAAAAAAAAAAAGAAAAGTTTTTGTTTTAGTTGATGTAAAACAGAGGGCCATAATAAAACTGGTAGCTTAATTAGAAGGAAGGTCTTTTTTTGTTGTTGTTTAGTGATACGTAATAGTAATACTTCTCATTGGCTTTCTGATGCACCCCGATGAGAACTCTGTTAATCTAGGTACTAGAGTCATGGGAATTTTAACTGTGTGAACTCTTCTTTTTCCTAAGCATACGTGGCTTATTGTTACTGTGAAGAGGGATTTGGTGTAGTCTCATCATTTTATGTGTGGATAACTGAGAGATTAGTTGCTTAATCCTATCTAGACAGGT